TAGATAGATAGATAGATAGATAGATAGATAGATAGATAGATAGATAGCCCCAAAGACTCCTGGATGCACCACAACCCAACCCCAGAGCCTCTACCGCCCGCCCGCGACCTAGTGTCCTATTTCTTTAAAATAAAAGCTGCGAGCCCTACAATTACTGGGATTACAGTGAGCGGGTATTGATCTGCAGCCTGCATTGTAGGATAAAGCAGACTGGCGGAGGCAGACGTGCAGCCCAGCCACCACCACCCCTCCACCTCCTGGTCCCGCAAAGCTCTTTAAATGTGTGTGTGTGTGTGTGTGTGTGTGTGTGTGTGTGTGTGTGTGTGTAAGTGCGAGTGTGTGTGTATGTGTACGTTTCTAAACGTTTGATTTCAGACACACTATTAACACCTGCAGGGGGAAAAAAGGAGGTGGGGGAAGGAAAGAAAAGAAAAGGGCCCCGTCGCCACACCTCCCTGGGGTGCCCTTGGGACTCCCAGGCCTGAGCCAGCTAGACAACCACCTTCAGCCTCTTTTTCTTTTTAATGCTTTTTTTTTAATTACTAGGGAAAATATACACATAAGCAAAAAAAAAAAAAATCCTCCCAACAGGCGCGAGCGGGGGTGGCGAGCAGGCCAAGGAAGGCGGTAACGCAAGACTAATGCACAGATAGCTGACATCAACTTCCGTCAGGCAGCTCCGGGAGATCGAACCTTTCGATTGTAACTGGGACAATTTGCATAGTGATTCCCTTTCAGAGCTTTCTCGGGTCCGTAACTAGCGCAGGCAGCTATTCAAATGCAAGTTGCGTCCCCAAATGCGCGGCTGGCCTGAGCAAAAGGAGCAGCTCCACGCGGGGCGAGCCGAGACCAGCGCTGGGGTTCTGGGTCACCTCTTTTCTCCCGATTTCTCCCTCGCTCTTCGGTTCCTGAATTAGCTGTTTATTTATGACTACAAACGAGTGTGAACCAGAGAGACAGCGCACGAGGGAGGAAATGGATGTTTACCCGGACTCAAAGCTGAAGCCGAAGGAGTGCAGGGGATTTGGGGTTCTGAGTGGGATTCAGACCCTGGGTGCCAATGGGAAGCCAGTGGGCTTTCTTGCCCGCTTCCCTAAACATCGCGACCTCGCAGGAATCCTCAGGATGGTGAGCGGCCGGCCCCGAGCTTTGGAGAAAGTGACGGCCGCTGCGTCCCAGTCTTTAAAATGAACGCAAAGAAAGGTACCTGCGATGAACACTGGTTACTTTTTCCGGTTCTGCACCCGGAGGGCGAGGGGTGATTTACAGGTGAGGGGTGGGATTGGGGGCTTAAAATGGGGCTTCTCGTTTCTTTGCTTCTCATTTGAAATTATGCAAATTGACTCGGGTTTCCCTCTCTCCTAGGAGGCAGAGCTGAAACCTGGTCGCGTGTCAGAAGCAACCTGCCGTGAAATCCTCTAATGCGCACAGACTCGCCCTCCGCGGTAAGCCAGCCTCGTAGGTCCACCCAGCAGTGGACTAAGAAAGGGGAGTCAGCGCAGCCAGGTGCTCGAGGGTGTGCCACGCGGGTCCTTTGCTGAGCTCGTGGCCACGCGTATAGGGTGGGAGCCGGGGGCGGAGGGCACAACCCGTTTCAGGCTCGGGAAACGGAAAGGGGGCGCCCCCCTCCCAGACTGCCTGCGCGCCACCGTGGGTAACAGGTCCTCCCCCACGAGTTTAAAGCAGCAAATGAGAACCGAGAGCTGGCCTCGGAGCAGGGTGTAAACGCGAGTGGCGGGTACGCGAGCGCGCGGTTGAGCTTTGCGCGCGGTTCTATTCCCGAGCAGCGCGCCGCGGCCCCGCGCACCTGCTTTGTGCGTTTTCTACAAACCGAGTGGGCAAGATCCACTCCTTTGAGCAGGCCCCCAACTGGAATCTGTCTATTCTTTCCCACTTCTAGTTGACGTTTCTACACCGCCCAGGTTACTCCGTTGTTCCTAGGAATCTAACCCAACCTTTTTAAAGATAACCCAGCCACTGACCTTGGCGCTCAGAATGTTGTGGCAAAAATCACCTCGTTTACTTCAGCAGTGGCTAAATTTATTTTGTTTTGTTTTAAGTACTGGAGGGAGGACGTAGGTTATTTAAACCTGCAGGCATAGCCAAACACATTTTCAAATATTCTTCTCATGTTGCTTCAGTGCTAAGAGCGAGCAGGGAGCTTAATGGTCCCCGCTTTATGCAGGATGCACAGAATATTTTTCTCGGTTTTTTGTTTGTTTGTTTTGATAGCTTTGAAAAACGTAGACTGTTTCTGTTCTTTTCCTAACCGATTCTTAAGAATCCAAAACAGTAAAAGTAAACGTCTGTTTGAAATTGAACGAAGAGAAAAGCAGACAGGTTGGAGCAAATAAATCCAACATAAATTAAAAGCAAATTGGACAAAGCAAGCGAAACTATGAAAAAGATATGAGCAATTAATATCTGTGGGGGAAGCAGGTTTAAAAGCTGAAATCTCTAGGTTTTACTCCCAACGCAAACGAAGCCAAAGGAATTAAATACGTAGGTTTGCCCTTGTGTATCTAACCGAAGACAAGAGGCCTGCCCAAAGCCGTCTTGATCAAGTGTGCACTCCGAGGATGTTAAAAGACAGATTCACTTCAAGACACTTGCATACATTTTCAGTAAACTACAACCAATTAGGGAACCTTTAGTTCTGGCGGGAAACTATTTTAATTTTATATCTGCCTTTGGGGGGGAGAAGCAAAGCCTGGCAGTTATTACTAGTTCCTGTGGAGTTAATTTAATGTAAATAGTCTACTCTCCTGTCAGCACAGGAGAAGTAGAAGCCCCGGGGGGTCAGGAATGGCCAGTCAAGTGGTGGAGAAGCCTAGCGGCTCTGGGGACAGACCGGAGACTCGGAACCAGCATTGGGTTGGTTGCTTCTCTCCCTCTCCTAAAACTGTAACTCAAGATGTAAGTAAAAGTGTTTTCATTTTTTATTGATCCCACTAACATCTTTCATTATCCAGTATGTAGCCACAGCAAATTATTGCTCATTTGATACCCAGAATTCTATTGACCATGGCTTTCGTCGGGAGGGAGAATTCTAACTCCTGATGGCTCTGAGCTCAGAGCTGAGCCTGGAAACACGTAAATCCAGCTCTGACCTGCAGGAATTGATGGACAGGTGTGGGTGACATGGAGCCGCGTGGGCATGCATAGAAACCAGCTTTTTACTCTGCTGGCCTTGCCCCCATTCAGGCAAAAGGTCAGTCCCTTTGGAACAGACAAGGCTACTTGCAAGACTGGGTATTCGTTGGTAAGTTCTTTCCAGCTCTAGCCAGCCCGGGGAAGAAAATCAGACAATGGAAGATTTCTCCTCTGGCTTTTGGGTGAAGCCTAGCCCACAGCAGGAATACTTAAAGAAGCATTAAACCATGCCCCTTCAACAAAAGATTCTTTATTTTTGTGTTTGAATATCATTTCCTAAATTTCATACTCCTCCCACTCTACAACATTACAGAGAGGTTAGCGTGGACTGAGCGACCTGCAATGAGTCTGCTTGGCAGTGGGCACCCAGCCTCCATGACAGGAGCCACGACTTCAACGCCCAACTATGGTAAAGAAGAACCTCTGCCTAGAGAATACCTGACCTTTGACCCTGAAACTCAAGGCCCGAGGTTGCTAGAGAGAGGCTGGTCCCAAAATGAGGCCTGAGCAGAGGGCCTTGAGGGCAGTGGGGAAGACCAGATGAGTGCTTCAGGAAGCTGGATTTTGGAATATGCCTACCAGATCTCCAAGGAACTGATGCCACTCTGAGGCAAGAGACCCGGAAGACTTGACCTGCCAAAGGCTGCCTGCCCTTCTCCTTCATATCCTAGTGAGGGACCTTCTCACTGTCTCCAAATAGGGGAAGGTTGCCTCACTCAAGAGAGAACAAGCACAGTTGGATCCCTCCGCAGAGCCTGTCCTATTTCCAAGGAACAAGCAATTCGATCCATACCCTTCTCCTTCAGCCCTGACACCTAGAGGGTCCAAGGAAGAGGCATTCATTTCTACAAGTACTATGAGCTAAGCCCTCTAGGCGGATTTCAAGAACAG